TATATACCTTGTGTTTTCTAATCCTGCTAAATTCAAATACAAGTTCTAGGGGCTCCTAGAGATTTCTTAGTATTTTCTCTGCAGATGATCATTTCATCTACATACAAAGATTTTACTTCTACCTTGCCAATCCTATCCTAATTGTGTCATTTTATTGCCAGACTATTTTGCATTGGGCCTATGTTTCAAAGCTTAATGGACAGAAGAAGAGTAGGCATATCTGCCCTTGTTCCCCAACTTAGGGAGAAAGCATTGTATCTTCTCCATTCATATAAGGCATTTTTCCTAGAAGTATGGAGTACATGTCTTTTATCTGCTGAGAAGGTTCTGTTCTACTTCTAGTCTCCTGATAGCTTTTACCATCAACAGCTGTAGAATTTAGTCCAATACTTTTTCTCCAACTACTGACAGGATCAGATGGCTTTTTCCTTTCCCCTGTTAAAATGATGGCTTTTAGGGGTGGATATTCCAATGCTGAACCAACACTGCCATCTCTATAATAAAACCATTTTCTACATACTGCCAAAAAAAAAAAAAAAAAAAATTTTAAAGGGCTGGGCATTTAGCTCAGTGGTTTCGCCGCCTGCTGCCCAAGCACAAGGACAAAAGTTTGATCCCAAAAAAAAAAAAAAAAAAGAAAGAAAAACACTTAGAATTTTTTTTGAGACAGGGTCTCACTAAATAGGTAAATTGAACTTGTGGATTTTCCTTCTTCAGCCTCCTAGAGCTCTGGGATTACAGATGTGCATTATCATATCTGGCTGAAACATAGAATCTTCAGTAAAAATCCAGGAAACATAGATGTTTGTAAATCTTTGTGATACAGTGGGAGAGACTCCTGATCTAAAAGGAATTATTAATCTATTTTACCTAGTGTTCCTAAGAGTTACCTGTATATTTTCACAGAAAAGCCACACTCTCTTTGATAACATAGCCTAGGGGCTCATAAGTCCTTGCAAAAAGTAGTTCTTCCCAATAACAAACTCAAATCCCCCATTTGCAGTCAGTTTTTGTCTCAATGCCTAGAAGCAAATGAAAGATCTGGAAAGCATTTCTCAATTCTCCTCTGGATTTTACTCTCAGCCCATCCCCAGTCATCACTTCTGATTGTTCTCCTCTGGCAGCCCTCCAGGCCTCCTTGTCCGCATCTGAGCTCTGTTTTCCAGAAGGCTGAGACTCTTCCTAAGCACTGCCTGGCACACTGAATCAGCCATTCCATTTGGGCCCTTTGCTCCATTCAAAAAGAGAAGAAAAACAGAAGGATAAGCAGAAAACACACTTACTAATAGAGGCTAAGATGGTCCAGCTGGCTGTGCATGTGGATGGGATAGGTCTCTGCCAGGTGAATCAGCTTTTCTATTGCTTCATAGATAAAAATAATACATATCAGGGAGGCAAATGCTTCTTCAGTGAAGCGGGTAATGTAGCAGACAAGGGAACTGGCATCAGTTGCCACAAGCACAATACAGAGGAAGGCGGTCCATAGTCCAATACAAGCTCGCAGGGAGAGGTATGAAAGGGCATAGTCTCTGAAACAAGAACAAAATTCATCAAAAAGTGTGAATGGATGGTGCTAAGAAACAGCCAAATGTGGTTGATTCATTTCATGTTTTCCATACCGGCACTGCACCCCAGTTTATCCCTAATTCTGATTACACTTATATTCCTAAATAATGCTCTAAGACAGTCAGGTTAAAGATTTGCCTCACTGGGAGCCAGGCGTGGTGGCACATGCACTCAGGAGGCTGAGGCAGGGGGATGGCCATGAGTTCAAGATCAGACTGGGCTATGTAATGAGTTGAAGGCTAGTCTGAACTATAGTAAGACCCTGTCTCAATAAATAAATAGATAAATAAATAAATAAATAAATAAAAGATTTCCCAAGTGCTCTTTGCCATACCAAATATGTAGAAAGTGGAGAATGGATCATCTCATACACATTTCTGCCATTACTAGCCAATGTAATTAAGATCTTGTTTGCGCACGAAGAAAAAAGGTCTGGTTCTAGTACCATGTGCTCCTTCTTTTAATACAAACTGGAAAAAAGGTTTTATAGGAAAAGTAAGGAACCCAGGGCATTCCTGAGATGCCATATGAAAGAGGGATAGCAGGCCAAATTAAAAATTGACTCGAAATGGATATGAAGACAGAAATTAGCAAGGGAAAATATTTTGAACATTAAAGTCAAGACTTCAATGATGGCTTAGGAACATTAGTCAAAAACCTCTTTAAAAATGGGAGATCTGGTTGGACATGGTGGCACATGCCTATAATCCCAGCACTGAAAGGCTTAAGCAGGAGGATTGCCACGGATTTGAGGCCAGCCTGGGCTACACTGTGGGTTCAAGGCCAGCCTGAACTACATAGTAAGACCCTGTCTCAAAAAAAGATCTGCCATTATATGTACGGTGCTACCTGGGGATAGGATAACAGACCAAATGATGTTCTTCCTTCAGGTTTCCTACGATCTAGAATATTTTCTTGCTTGTATACTTGCATAAGTCTCTGGCATTCAATTCTGGCAGCACAATAACCACATCTAGTTAGTTTTCAGGAAAATAAATCTCTTACTTGCAAAATTTGAACAAAATCTTCTCAAACACAAGAACTGGCCCAGTACTTCCCAGGATGGTAAGAGCCTGTCCTGCAAACAAGGAATATGCGATCCCAGTCATGGAGGCTCCAAACAAGGATTCAATTGCACTCTGAGAAGGAAAGAAACCAAAGAATCTAAGGCCCATCAGTAACGAGTAATGTTGACTTACATATACTCCTGACTTAGTTTTCAGTGCCTTGATAGTCATTTGCTTGTGTTTCTTCTTAGCAAGAGTGATGTGTACATACCATCTAATACTCTTGTAAACAGAAACCTCCTTAATAATTCAGGTGCCAAAATCCATTTGCATATGATTTCTCAACCAAATTCTGTTCTTCAGTGACTCAATTCAGTATTTGAAAATACATAAAAAGTACATTGATGCTGTTCAAACTATAAGCTGTCAGACAGAGTCACTTTAAATCTTATTTTCAAATTGCATCAATATATTCATATAGGGCCAGGGATTTAGCTCAGTGGCACTGCACCTGCCTTGCAAGCACAAGGTCCTGAGTTCGATCCCCTGTACCAAATATATTTATATATATATATATTCTCATATATTTTCCATTCTTGGGGCAATGAACAATTCAACTGGCCATCTAGCACTCAAAGTGACATTCCAGGGGAAGAGAGTTCTGTTTAAAGGGAGAAATGTGCTGCTCTTTCATAGGAAGTCAGAAGATGGAGTAATTCAGGAGAAGGAATTCAACCTCCACAGCCCTAGGCCAGGTAATTTCCCACCAATGGATCTGGCTCCCACTACCATATTTTAATTCCTTTTTGGAACCATTAAGAGTGGTTGCTGGGAGCCATGTGCTATAGATCACTATGGCCTAACTCCCCTGCTCCTGTGGAAGGCGTGGTGAGACAAGGCCTGGCCAAAAAAAAGACTACCGCAGGGGATTTAGCTCAGTCGTTCCGCCACCTGCCTCAAAAGCACAAGGACCTGAGTTCGATCCCCTGGTACCGAAAAAAAAAAGTTTCCACCTGGCCTCAGCTATATAAACTTTATTGTCATCTTTGTCTTCTTTGTCTTATTCTTTAAGTTTCTTAATCTCTCACCATCGTTTCTCACTCCATAAACCTTTCAGCCACATGGGCCGTGACAAGTGGTTAAAAGTTCTTACTATGCGTCCCTCGGTGGCTTCTCCAAGCAATCCCCCAAAGGTGATGACAGGTGACATGCAGGCACAGTATAGGAACAGAAAAGAGGCTAGACACTGTAAGCTGAGCGCATCTCGGTAGTCGCTCCAGTACCAAGGGGCCTTCCGCTTGATGTCCAGCACCAAGCCCCCAAACAGCCTGTGGAAACACAACAGACAGGCCTCTAATGCAGTTCCTCATTCACAAAGGCACATGATCAGCACACATAGGAAAGCTTTTCAAATGTGCCCTGTACTAAGGTAGTATTTTAGCTTCAATTTGACCCCAAGTATGGGAGATCTCTTTGGGGTCAGCATATTCTATTTGCAATCAAGGATGTGGCTTATAGTACCTGTGAATGACTTATCCTGAGAATAAAAAGAATTTAGGTATGCATATTACCCATTTTTTAAAAAAATGTTCAAAAACTTAGGATAGAAAGTATCAGTCTGAAACTTCAAATTCTGAGCTGTTAGGAGGAAATATGTCAGACTAACTTAAAGTATTAAAATTGTTAGTTTTATTAAATATTTTCCAGATAAAAAGTCATTATCATAGGTACTTTCTTACTCTGAACAATCACCTACTTTGCTATTGGGAAATTAGCTTAACAGTTCATTCATGCAATTGACAAGTAGTAGCAGATATATGGTACCAGGTCTACTCCAGGTACTGGAGGTGAACAGTAAGACAAACAAAGCCCTTGCGCTCCCAAACCAACAGTACAGTTTGGGAGAGAGGCAGTGCTGTGAGGGTGCTATGGGATCACAGGACAGGGAGGGGCCTTTTAGCAGGGACTCAAAGGATGGACCTGGAAAGAGCCAGATGAGGCAGGGGGCTAGCATGGGTGACACCTATGAGGTGAGAGTGTATGCTGGGGTCAGGGTGCTAGAACAGAAGTGACTGCATAACACAGTGCAAGGGGCAAATACCAACACACAAGGCTGGGTGGAGAAGCTGATTCACAAAGGGCCTTGAAAATGGTAAAAGAACTAGAACTTTGTTTGAACAGCAAGCCAAATTACTGAAGGGCAGTAAACAGCAAAGCAACATAACCAAACATGCATTCTAGTAGTGTGATAAGAGGAGTGGAGATTGAGATGAAGAAAGGGGACAGACTCCAATGCTGATCAGGAGGTAGAAACAACAGGACTCTGTGGCAGCAGTTCAGAGCCCTCTTGCCTTCCCACGGATGAGAGAGATGAAGAGTAAGACACTCACACTGTGGAGGAACTAGGTTCCCAGATTCAGCCATTTTTTCTAAGAATGGACTCACTGAACCAGGGCGAAAAACTGCCAACTGAGTAACAAAAAAGCCACTTCGCATTCTGCAGGACACATCATCTGGTTTGTTCTACAAATTAACAGCATAGAGTAAAATGAAAGGAAGAGGGGCTATTATAGAATGGCAGCATAATAACCAAACCTCAATTGAATGCTGTATCAAACAAATGAACTCTAAAGAGATATTGCTATCACAAAAAAACAGTAATATGGACTGAGCATTAGATGATTTAAAGAATGATCATTAATTCTGTTAGACTTGACGATGCCATAATTATTTTTAAATGTCCTTACTAATCAAGGTATATACTGAGAGGTATTTATAGGAAGAATGATATGATGTCACTGATTGGGCTTAAAATAATCTAGAAAACATAAAAACAAATGGGAAGAAATAGATGAAATAAGATTTGCAAAATATTGGTAACAGTTGACAAGTACTTGGGGGTTCACTTAACTATTCTCATGTGTGTGTGTGTGTGTGTGTGTGTGCACGTGTGTGTGCACGTGTGTGTTTGAAAATTTCTATAATAAAAAGCAAAAACAAAAAACAAGTTACTCTTTCATGGAAGGAGGCTTAGCCAGCTCCTTCTTTCCTTACCTCATAGGAATCAGAGACGTATGATGAGGTCTGGGAGCAGGGGAGAACGCTCACACATATCTTTCTCCACTCAAATGCTTTTTCATTTAGCTAAATACAGTGGGTGCCAGGTGGACCCAGGGAAGACACTGTTCTACCTTACCCTCTTATTCCTTTCCTCTGGTTTTGGAGGATATAGCTGGGATTCACCTTTCCTCTACTTATAGCAGAAACTTCAAAATCAGGGTGTGGGCTATAGGAGAGAGGCAACGCTAGGCTTGTGACCTGCTTTATTTTTAGCCTTTCTGGCAAACCCAGCTTAGGAAAAGAAGCTATCTACAGGGTCTAACCTAGATTATAAGAGCTCAGCCTCAGGGTTTGGGAACAGGACTCCCATTAATAATAAATTTGCACTTTGTCTTGTTCTCTCTACTAGATAAACAGCCCTCCAAGGACCTAACAACAGGCAGCAGTGATTAGTCTGAACAAGATTCAAGTGTTGCTGGGTCCTTAGACACTACAGCATCCTATTTCCTGATGAATAGTAAGTACCTCCTCATCACAAGTAACTTTCCTCTGAAGGACATTGTTCTGGAAAAAGAATCTCTTCTGTATCCTACTGAGGCCACCTGCCATGCCGCCATAATTCTCTATCCCTTGACACTGGAGTCATCTTTAGTGAGGAGTGTCAGTGAGCAACAGGCAAAAGATTTATGGGAATGGATTTATGAAAAGATATAGAGAAGGAAGACACCTGTTTGCCTAGCAGTGATTAAAAAAGGAGAGAAGGAGATCTGGAGCTCATATTGATAGTATAACTGTAAATAATAAGATAATTTCTGAATACTATTTATGTAGTCAGTCTCATACCCCATTCCTGCATAAAATCAGATCATAACTGTACTTCTACCATAGATATTAATCAGGCATGGATGGTTGTCTCATATTTGAAACTTCCTTTCCCTTTCAACACTGTCCTTGATGTTCAAGTATTTGGGGAACAGGAGGCACACAGGGATATAAATTTAAGCTCCATGCAAGAAAGGACTTACCCACGTAGAGGGTCATAGGTTCTAGAGCACTGGCTTAGGGAGCCCTTCCCTAGAGGGCTTTAGGGACAGGCCAGCCATCCATTTGTCTGGTGTGCTTTGGAAGAAACCACTTGAAGTGTATTGTGTGCATGTGTGTGGGGGTCATCAAGGTAGCAACTCCTGATTCTTTTTTTCATTAACCCTTTCCAAAAATCAGCATCCCTAAAAAAGGATATAAATCAGCCCTGGAAAATTCCTCTCCAGAGTATTCTCCTTGAGACAGAGCTTCTGGACTAGGTAGACTCTAGTCATACTTTCTTCTTTGCTATGTATGGCATTCCTGCTTGCATCAGCATCAAGGAGGTTCAAGACACTGTCTTGGCCTTGCCTTGGAAGGTCAGAACTTTATCTCATTTCCTGTCTTCCCATCCTCAGACACTTCTTTATCCAACAAAAATAATATACCATAAGGTTCCAAGTTTTGCCTCAAGGTTGTGTAGAGCAGATTTTGCATTCAAAGAAACACAACGAATGTTTTGAATAATTATAAAACCCAGGCTTTTAGACTATACAGCCCAGGAAGGTCCAAACACTTCTGCAATGTCCAGCTGCAGATTCTCATTTGCCTTTCACATCATTTGAAATAGGAAAGGGGCCTAGAATGGTGATCTCTGATACAGCACTAGGTTACCTGGCCTAAGAGGCTACAATGGGGGTAGGTCACATGTCTTGAGATTGTTTACTAAGGTCTTGAGAAAAACATCAGAAGCTCAGGAAGGGGACTACCAAGTAGAAGGAAGCTCTGAGCTCAGAGCTTTTTTTTAGCTTTGTTTGGACACTTTGTTTGGAGAAGCCTCTGGAATTGGTCCAGAGGCTTCTGACACGACACTATGAGAGAACTTCAAACCCATTTGAATGTATGAATTAAGGTAGTCAGGGTTTTTGTCTTTGTTTTGTTTGTCTGTTTATTTGGCTTTTTGAGACAAGGTCTCATGACTTAGTTCAGCCTGGCTTAGAACTCATACTATGTAGCTCAGGCTAGCCTCAGGCCCGCAGGGATCCTCTTGCCTCAACCTTCCAAGTGCTGGGATTACAGGCATGCACCACCACACTCGGCAGTATTTTGGGTTTGTGATTAAGCGTGTGATTAAAAAAAAAAGCAGCACCTTTTGAGGGCCGAGGAACAAGCTCTGTGGTTCAGCCACCTGCCTTGCAAACACAAGGTCCAGAGTTTGATCCCCAGTACCAAAAAAAAGCATGTGGTAGTCCTGACAATATGGGATTTACTTTGGGAACATCAAGCACCATTTCTGAGATCTTATGATTTTTTAGATCCAGTCTAATGGTCTTTCATCCCCTCACCATGTAGAATTTATTATAAGCATGATTATATTATAGTTCATTGTGTTTCCTTTGGCTCTGGAAGAAAGCTGAACTCTCACCTTTGCACAGATATCCATTTGAAGAAAACCCTGTTGTTATTAATCTACAGTTTCAAACTCTAAGTCCTAGATTGTAGATACCCTTTAAATCAAAAATATAAATCTTGGGGCTGGGGATTTAGCTCATTTGTGCCCCTGCCTGCCTTGCAAGCACAAGGTCCTGAGTTCGATCTCCAGTAACAAATCTTAATTCTGAAGTATTATCAAATCCATACTCTAGACCCTTTGTAGGAGTAGGGGTAGAGGACTCTTTGGGGACAGTCTCAGACCTGAAGCCACTGTCAGGAGAAGCTTTTCTTTTACTATCTAAAAGCATCAGGGCCCCACCTATTCAGACCTCTCTCAACTTTAAGGAAGATGTTTAACGTTCACTCTTTAAGGCTGCTCCCTCTTTGCAGAGATCCCTTTGATTTGAAGGCTCCTCCTTTTTGCCAATTCTCCCTCCCAGAGTAGTTATCGTCTCTAATCCTCAAACACGTTCCTCTAACCAAAAAACATAATCCCCTATCCCAATGCTGCCAGTGAAGAGACATTCTCTCCTGTTTCTATGTCTCCTCTTCCTGACTTCTTTCTGAAATTTTCCAAGAGTGGAAAAATAATTTATCTTCCCAATTAAAAATAAGAATAATCTGAGTTTCCATTGGTTAGAAAACTGAGAACAAGAGTAAAGAAAGGAGCCTCAAGCAAGGAGAAGAAAAGAAGGTAAAAGTATGGAAGTAGAGAACATAAAAGCTTCTTTCCATGATCCACGTCCTCCTCTGAGAATCTCTATCCAGCAGATCCTCTGTAGACACAATACAATATATACAGCCAGAGCCATAG